AATTTTTTATATCATTTCATATTACATTATTGCAAAAAAACTATAAATATAGATACAAATATTTTTGATTCATTATAAATTTGTGAAAAATAATTTTCCATTAAATATATTCCATATTTTTTGAAAATAATTTCTAGATCTTTCTAAAAACTTCCACAATTCTATTTATTACTATATAGAAATCACGAAGCGAATACTTCCAACTTGGAAGCAAAGTAATTCCTTGATCCATAGCCAAATGCGACTAACTGTCATGGCTCGTTACGTGGTACTCTTGACTCGTAATTGTAACAATCCGGCTAACGCACTCGTAAATCCTGCATTATAATCCAAAGTGACTTCCGTATACACGTAATCCTCTCTATGATCGTGAAACTTGTCCGCTTCGTCAGGACCTGAGACCAGAGCACCATATAGGATTTGAGGATTTGGCGCGTCTTTGTCGAATTCGGACCATCCGCAAATAGCAGGTCTATCAGGACATGATGATGCAGCATGGTGTGGTTGTTTTGGAGGATTTCGACCCCATCCAACTACGTAACTTCTACCTAATTAAGAAATAACTTCCACTTAATTGTGATTTTAACTGGAATTAATCGAGAATTTTGTAGTAAAAGTGCAGATCTATTTTTTAATTATGCTTAAATTGAAAGACTTTTTTATAAAATTACTATTTTGATTTAACATTAAAAAGGAAATATTGGTTAAAAAATATGTAGAATGTTAATATATTTGTGGAATATCTTTGATAGGTCGATTCTACGAGTTAAACAAAAAAATTTGATATATAAAAAAAAACTGTTCAAATTTATTTATTATTATATTATATTATTTATAAGCATTTAAAGTTTATATTAGATGAAGCGAGTTATAATAAAAATTTTATTTTTATTTCTGTTATGTTTATTTTATGTTACCATTTCGCTTTATCAATTTTGTAGGTTATGAACTTACCACCACCTCCTAACATATAGTAAATTTGTTGCTCAGCAAATTCACGATATTTTTGGGAATCTCCGATTCCGGATGAGTCGGCAGCTTCGAGGCAAACGAATGCCACATTTGCTGCGTGACAAAGAGTGCCAAACTTGTCAATATATAGCAATCCTTTAGGTGTACGTTTTTGTTGATATACTGAGAAATCGCAAAAAGCTCGTGCCGCGTTTTGATATTCCGGCTGCCCTGTCATCTGAGCTAATAAAACCTGTAAAAAACCAATGAAAACTAATAAAATTAATTTTAACTATATCAAATAAATAAATGATCTATGATATATGATATATGATCTTTTATATTTTATATATTTATAAATTTTGTTAATTATAAATTTACCTGAACTCCAGCGACTTTTTTATTATAAAAGAATTCATTGGGTCTCTCTTTAAGATGGAAATGTTGGTAATGATGCTCGGCTTCTTCAAGATACATCGTATCGTTTGTCGCTTTAAAAAGCCATACGGCTGCCCAGGCCAATTCATCGC